GCCCGTAATGGCAGCACCAGTATACGTGAACAGATCGCATAATCCGTACGTTGAGGCGTTTGGAAGACCTCTATGGCATCTCTTTGAGGTTTACAAGTTAACGGTGGTGATGCGACAAAACGAAGCTCAGTTCAAGGAAGCACTTAATCATTTAGCGAATGGGGAGCTCACAGCAGCGGATGAAGCACTCTTTCGGTCTCGAACATTTGCAGAGCTTCCTCAGGCAGCAGCTGCACAGAAACCAGTTTTCCTTTTCGCCAAAAACACTGAAGTGGATAAATGGAATGATAAAGTGCTGAGGGAAATGCCCGGATTTGGAACAACTTGCGAAGCATCAGATAGAGTAGCTGGAGATGGGCCGGAGAGCACCAAAAACGTTATGTTACTAAGTGTTCGTAGTGCACGCACAACTACTCACCAAACAATGGGTATGCCGAGGACGTTATATTTGAAAGTTGGTGCGCGATACATGATGACATACAACTTGGACACCAGTGACGGCCTAACTAACGGTGCTACTGGAAGACTAGTCCAAGTGGAGATGGGACAACGTCGACAGGGAGAAACTAATGAGACTAAACCATTACGTATCTGGATGCTATTCGATGAGCAGGAGGTGGGTACGAAGATGCGCAGGAGGTTCAGCAGCATTAGCACTCGCAGGCATTACCCGACGAACTGGACACCGCTAGAGCCAATAATAGTACCGATCAAACGTAGCAAGGGGTCAAATTTGCAAGTATTACGCAAACAATTCCCACTGGTACCGGCGGAAGCAATAACAATCCACAAGAGTCAGGGTCAGACATACCCGTCTGTGGTTCTCCACACTGCACAGCGCATGAATCGCGCTCTGCTCTACGTTGCGCTATCCAGAGTCACGTCGCTCTGTGGACTGTACATAATCGGCGAATTTAAGACGCCGCGACAATCGCAACCCAACGATCCGCTGCAAATTGAGCTGAGGCGACAGGAGCAATGCTTATTGCAGCCTACATTCCAATTTCTTCGAACAGAGCGCAGCGGTGTCCAGGTTATATATCACAATGTGCAAAGCTTGGCAAAACACCGCGTCCAGATCGAGAACGACGCCGTTTATACAGCGAGCGACGTAATACTGCTCGGAGAGACTTGGTCAGTGGCAGCAGACGACATTCATATCAACGGCTACCGGACGGCTGTACGTGCCGACGGCATTGGACCGGCAAGAATAGCCCGCGGAGCCTGCTGCCTGGTGTCGGAACTGATGATGAATAATGTTCGCGACACAGTATCCATCAGAATTGGAGGAAGGGAAGATTGTTTGGACGCAACTCTCATAAAACTTCACAATGTGCTCATTGCCGGAGTGTACGCAAGTCCCGGTGTAACGATTGCTAACATTCGGTCCTTCCTCGCAAGATGTTCCGAGGAAGAGGGGCGAAAACTCATACTGGGTGATTTCAATCACAACATCACTGAAACAGGAAACCCCCGTTTCAAGGAAATGATGCAGGAATTTGGACTAAAAATTTGGAATGTGAATGTACCCACGACTAATGCGAATTCAACGCTAGATCTCATTATAAGCAATTTCGACATATCTCACGGCATGTACATCTCCCTAACAAGTTTTCATGAGCCTATTTGGGCCAGATATAATCCATAAATCGATTGAATAACAGTTCTATTTCAACCCGACGGCAATAGAACTGCAGTCGCTACTGGCAGCCAAGATCGAATTATATCCAGGAGGCGCAAATCTATCTCACGATGCGTAGCGGAGGAACACAGAGATTCAGTCGGAAATGAACACATCTAATGAAGCCATCATTGTGATAATTTGAATTTGCAAAAATCACTAACATAAATAACGCATATGTGGTCTACTAATTACTGATAATGTTGTTAAAGGAATAAACTAAATAGATAAAAGATAATTGTATCAGCACAGCACTAAACTTCCGCAACAAATCGTGCAAAAACGCATGATCGCACCGGCTCGCCTGGTGCGTTCCAGCCTGGGTTTTAATTGCCAACCATTTGACAATTTTTCGGGCACGCTGGGCGGCGCTAGCCAGTGTTTGGTGGCTGCGTCGTGTGGTTGAGGGGTAGTGGTGGAGGTTGGACGTGGTTGGGAGGTGTTTGTTGGTGCCCAGGTACAGCGCGGAGGGCGCGGTTGGATCCAGGACAGTGGGGGAGAACGAACGTGCTAGTTAGGAGTTGAGGTTGATAAATGGCGACAGCGGTTGAGGTGATGGGTGCTCCAGTGCGGCTCTGGAGACGGGGGTTGGGGACAGGATACAGGAGGGGAAGAAAGGTGCTAATCAGGAGTTCGAAGTAAGAACTGCAGGCAGCAGTAAAGAGGGAAATAAGCCAACATGGCACTGCAAAGAAAAGTGAATTAAAACAAACCTGAATTTGTGAACAAAGGGAAAATAATTGGCCAACGCACGGGCTGCCCGTGCGAAGATGCGTTTTTTGCATAGCTCCCCGCAGATTTTTGTCGCTAACGGCACTGCTTTTTCTAGCAGATGCTTCTAACTAAAAGAATTTCAGACTGGCCGCCAGGGCTGTGAGGAAACATCCCTTCAAAATCCCAGTCTTCTAGCTTCTCACTTTCCCGAGTTAGCAACTTACCCGGAAGAAACTTTCAAGGGCCCGTACGTAGGTACCACGCTTACTCGTGGGCAGGGTTTGAACTCGTTAATACCTACTTGGACGGGGAACATTGCCCTAAGATTTTAGCATTCTAGCTTCTCAGGTCCTTGAGTTATGAAGTTACCCGAAAAAAATTTTGGTGAGCCCATACGTGAGCACCACGCTTACCCGGAGGATGAGTTTCAGTGCATTAACACCTACTTGGACGGGGAACATCTCCTTGAGATTTCAACTTTCTAGCTTCTTAGATCCCCGAATTATGAACTTACCCCAAAAAAACTTTGGCGGGCCCGTACGCGGTACCACGTGGGTTCTGGCGCCCATTTTGGGGATTGGGGTCGGCACGTGCATGTAGATTAAGTTCCCGAAATTTCAGCTCCGCAGGTTTTATGGGTCTTGAGACGAAAGTTCGTGACAGACGCACACAGAGACACATAGACACACGGACACACAGACAACCCCTTGTCAATATGCGTTTTTGCATTGCATATCTGCAAAAAACGCATAAGAAGCAAAATCAAAGAACTGAAGCCTGTAACCAAAAACAAAAAAAAGCAAAAGCAAGTAAAAACTGAGCTTATGGGAGTACGATTTGTTTTATAAAAACCCGTCTCCAGTAAGCGTTCCCCGCATTTATGAGGTTTATACTTAGGTGGAGCTGGGGGCAAATAAGTCCGACTGGATTACATAAATATTGCAGACAATTCCACAGTGTTGCCTCTCGCAGTCTGCAACTGTGCACAACAGCTATACCTTTGTTTTTTTGTCTTCAAAATCTCATAGGAGCAAAGACTGACTTCATCCCCAAGCATCCATTCTACGCTGTTTTTGCTCACTTCGTGGAACTTATTCGCTCTCAGCTTTATCTAAGCATCAGTTCCATAAAAAGGGAATTCCCCTACTGATAACGGGTTTTTATGGATCAGTTTCCACTGCCAAAACCTCAGTTTCTCTTGCTTTTATTCATAAAGTCAGATTTGCTTTAATTTACTTTTATTTGTGTGCGCAGAGTTGTCTTTTTCTTTTTACTGTTTTCTCCAGTTCTTCCTCGAGTTCCTGATTTGTATCCTCGTTCCTCTTCTCTTCCCTGTTCCAAATTCTACTAGCAAACAAGATATAGACCCTTCTCCATCCCTACTATAAAATCACTGTTCAAACTTTCCTTATCCCAGGTATCTACGGTAAAAACCAGGAGCACACTTCCTCATCCTTTCCGTTCTTCACCGCTCCCCTCCCGCCTCTGGATGTACGTTACTTAGTCAACCAGCAAAGAATCTACGCTATTTAGTCCTTAGATCCACCTATCCTAGCCCCTCCCC